TAGGCTTTTGAGCAGCAGTTCAGCTGAAATCCATTTGGATGAGGACTCATGAGGCTTCCAGTTTGAGGAAACAAGATCAGTTGAGGAATTGGCAAGGTGAGGTTGGATGGGGTTTGTTCTGTTTCTCTGATCTTTCAGCATTTACCCCAGTATCTGGCTTCTGAGTGTTTTTTATTAATAGGACCTTTTAAGATTTGTGCTACAAGACATGGTAAGAAAACCAACAGGGAACTGGGGGCAGGAACAGAAAGAAGCATGCCTGCTCCACCTGGGTCACAGACAGTTGTTAGTAACAGGAACAATGGGTGAGCTGGGCAAGTAGGCAGTGGGCTAAGCACCCTGCAGAATTGGGTAATGTTCATGCTGACATTATGTGTCAACATAACACACTGGCCTTAATTAGCCAGATTTCCTATGCTATTTCTGGCTTTTCTATTTGCTGATTATGAGAACTTAAGAAAATTCCTGAAGCACTCTGTGTCTCATCACTAAAAACTATGATGATAATAATATTATCTACATCAGAGTTGTTACTGGGACTAAATTAGTTAGAATAATACTTGGATGGAGAAAAGGAGGCTGAAAAAATTCAATTTCATTGTTTGAGCAATTTGTCACATCTGGGTTTAAGCTTAGATGTGTTTAAGTACAGGATTATGAGGCTAAGTGTCTCCACTATCAATGACAGTGATCAAATATTTTAACGTTCAGTTAGATGGTTTTAAATCAATGTGGTTCTCTTCACACACAACTTGAAGTTCTTGTAAGTCTTTAAAATCAACTCAGGATCCTTAGAAGAGAAGCTGTAGAATGTGTATGAAGCAAGAAGGGTTGGCCTAAACTAAACAAACTGTCATTGTCCAAACCAAAACTGTATCAGGAATATATTGCTCATTTTTCTGCTTTTTATCATTATTTTTTATTTTATTTTTGCCTATTTGAGTTTGGGGAAATCAGAGATTTGTGCTTAAAATTCATTACATGTTATTTATTGCTGATTATAAAATTGCATTTACGCACAAGTAGCTCTCATAAAGTATAAGTCTAAAAACTTACATAACCTTTTATTGGTAGATTTACACATAAACCTAATGTGAGTCATCCCACTAGACATTACTATGTTTTTAGACCAAATAAAACCTCCCTAACTATTGTGAACATGAATTGCAATTTGATTTTTAGCATCTACCACCAAGGAAAGGAAGCACAGACTCAATATCCTAACCATTTAATAAAAATCTTCATCCAAATTAAAACCACAACACATCCTTCAAAAGCATCTTTTGAATATTTTCCCATTTCAATAAAAAGCAACTTCATTTTTCCTATCACGAGGCAAAATCCTGAGTTCATCCTGCCTCCACCTGAGTTTCCCAGTGAGCTTCCCCTGGTGTGAGCACCCCCTGGCATGAGCTTCCCCTGGTGTGAGCACCCCCTGGTGTGAGCTTCCCCTGGTGTGAGCTTCCCCTGGTGTGAGCTTCCCCTGGCGTGAGCTTCCCCTGGCATGAGCTTCCCCTGGTGTGAGCACCCCCTGGTGTGAGCATCCCCTGGTGTGAGCTTCCCCTGGTGTGAGCATCCCCTGGTGTGAGCATCCCCTTGTGTGAGCTTCCCCTGGTGTGAGCTTCCCCTGGTGTGAGCTTCCCCTGGTGTGAGCATCCCCTGGTGTGAGTGTCCCTGGTGCAGCCAAGTCCTATGGTCCTTCTTCTGAAACCATGCTGCATATGACCACTTTTCCTCACTCCTCTGCCCCTGCCTGCTTTGAGACCCATTGGCCTTTGCTTAGATCATTGTAAGAACTCTAGGCTGCCTTCTCTACTCTGTCCAGACTTCACACCTTCATCTCATTTCTGCTCAAAAATCTCTAGTAGCTTTCTTGACCTGGAATTAAAATTAAATTAATCAGTTCATTAAATTTTGCCCATTTATTTCTATTTAAGTAGTGCTGAGAATGAATCTGAGGCTGTGTGTAGAGTAGGTAAGTCCTCTATGTCACAGCTCCCTACCAATCCTGTAGGGGCTTTACCTCTTAGGGCAAAGACCTGCAGGTTTCTGGTCCTCTGCTGTCGAATTTCTGTCTCATTGTATTTTCTGCTGTTTCCTTTGCTTGGCCTCTCCAGCTCAGTGGCTGGCTTCTGGAATAGGCCAGCAGGTCCCTGTTACTGGAGCTGGCTCTTCCTAGACCTTCTGTCTAGAATGTTCTCCCATGCAAAGTCATGCAGCTACCATTCTGTCATAGTCTGTTCATGCTACTGTAACGGACTACCTCAGACTTGGTAATCTAAAGAGAACAAGAGTTGACATCTCACTGTTTCAGTTTCTTGAGGCTTTGGAGGTTGGGAAGTTTAAGATAAAGGTGCTGGAAGGTTCACTGTTCAGTGGAAGATAATTGTCTCACCTTCCAACATGGCATCTTGTTACTTCCTCCTCGGGATATGGTGGGATGAAGGCCGTGTGTTCACGTGACAGACAGGTGGAATTCAGAAGAGTGGAGGTTTTTTCCTTCAGTCTTTTAAAGTGGTTAATCTCATTCATGAAGATTCTCACCTGATAACTTAGATTCTAAAAGCTTAATGCTATCACATGGAAGTTTTAGTTCTATGATATAAATTTTGGAGTAATACACATGTTTAAGGCCCTCCGAGGATTCTCTATGTAAAGTTTCAGCCCTGTGTCCTTACTCCCAATGCTTGAGATCTCTTTCTGCAATACTGCTTGAACTTCATCTGTGTCACCTTCTAATACAATGAAGTTCATTGTCTGATTTCTTCATTGGATGGTGAGTCCCATGAGAAAGAATTATTTTCTTTTTCACTCACTGAGGCTTCTCCAATGCCTGCCATGGAGTAGGCACTCAAAACATCGTTGTTAGCTGTTTCTGAATCTTATTCAGACACAAATAAGTTTATAAATTTACTTAATAAAAATGCTTACAAATTTGTTGGTTTACAAATATTTTCTATTTATAAATATGCAAGCCATCCACCCATTTCTAGTTAATAGTTCTGAAATCAATTCTAATTATCTAGCAGCATAATGTCCAAACTGAGATATTTATATTTTTCTGTTTATTCTACTCTCTGGAACATTTGATAGCAGCTTTCCACCACAAAAACATTTTTAGATTAAAATTACCTTGCCCCCTGTGGTCATCTGTGGGCACTTGTGACAGACTCCTCGCTGGTCCTGAGTGGGCCATGCTGATTGGACACTGGGGGCTCTAACAAACTTTAAATTTCGGCAAATGCCCAGGGACTGCTAAACCCGAAGAAGCCGAGCTTTGCCAAAGGTCAATGACACCAGGTAATTTACTCCTTACACAGAACTGCTCTTGACTGAAAGTGCTTGCTTAAGCTTGCAGTTTCCTTGCCATACTGGTCTGCTTAATTGAAAAGAAGTGCAAACTGGGACTGTTCTCAGCTGAGGATAATTGTCTAAATTCAGCGCTTTGGTCTATACGATAGGTAGAGCGCTAGAGATCATTAACTAAACTGCATGTCTTGGCAGCAAATTGGCCGGTGGGCTGACTATCGCTATTATCAGGTAGTAACTGGGAGGTGCACCATGGACAAACCAGACACAGGAGAAGGCAGCTGTGCTTCTGGTGATGAACACTGCACTGATGCGTCTACCAGCGCTGAGCTCTTTGATAAATGTGTAGACTGTCCTTATCCACAATACTTAGGAGCCAAAATCATAGCTTGAATTTAGGTGTAGATCCATAAGATAACATTAAGTTAGAAAAATACAAACTAGGATTTTTACAATATATCTTAGTTGCATTGTTTTGCTGAGCAAAAGTTTTTACTATGAAATGTTTAAATGTTGTAAGAACATTTAAATTACTTTCCCCATAAAAGTATTTTCTTACAACAAATCACATTATTATTTTTGTATTGGTTGTTATATGTTTATGTGTCAGTAAAATATGTAATGTTCATCAAGACCAACAGATTGCTGTCCAGAGCTACGCTGGTAATTTTTCAGTGTAAGGGCTGCTTGAGTTAGCTGAGCTCACCAGGTCCCAGGGAAATATCCATCACACTACACACATGTGCTTTACTCCATAACTAAAAGCGAGTATTCCAAAGTTTGCTCTACTGAACTTTATATAAAATAGGATCTTCTTTAAGTTGACTGAATGTGGCTTTTATTTAATTAGATGGAATAACAGAATCTTACTTTAGGTGACATAGAGTCTCGGTTAGGAACAGCTACTTTGCCAGAATACTAACCCCAGTTCTGCTCATTAATATTCATGAATTATGGAACATGTTACATGACATTTCTGAGTCTGCGTCCTAGTCTATAAAACTGGTAAAGTCACCTAGTTCATAATTTTGCACTGGGACTCAAATAAATAAACACATGGAAAATTCTTAGAATGATGTTTAGCTAATTTTATTATTTAGTAAATGCTTATGCTTACAGTAAAAATTGCTCCAGCTGTTTCTTTCTCTGGCCCCTACGTAGTGACTAATGTTGTAATGAGTGTGAAGGTGTGCCACTGGGGTACTAGCCTCGAACTGATAAGATTCATTGCTCACCTTTGTATCTGCCATCTTGATACACTTAATGATTCAGTTAGGAGCTGATATGTTGCCTTACTGCTTTCAATTATACAAGCATTTAATGATAGTTTTCTAAGCACATAGCGAAAATGTCAGGTTACCAATAGAGCAAATAATTATGTCTATAAAATTAATTTCTATTAATTGATTATTGGAATAATTATAGTCAATGATTTTTGTTTTATATAATAATCAGACATGAAAATAGATTAAAATATTAACTTTTAACTATGAACTAATGGTGCAAACTACATATATTTATATAGATGCTAATTTTATAGATGTAATTATATATAAGATATGTAATCTATATGTTAAAAGGAAATGAACTGCCGGAGGGGGGGATGTTGCATACGTGTGTGTTTATGTCTGTAGCTCATAACTGGCATTGTTAAGAGAGGTTTTGTTACTTTTTCAGGGAGGCTTGTGATGATGCAGGCCATGGCCGTGTGTGTTGGACTGCTCCTCTTCAGTGTGACCTGGGCAGCACCAGTAAGCATTTACCAATTCTTTTATGTGTCCCATGTTCTCTTTGTGTCTCTAGTTTTCAAGCAGTGTTTGTTAAAAAGTGAAGCATGGAGCGTGCAGCTCAGAAGCCTGCCAGCATCGGATGCAAAGTATAGGACGGTGCCATGCTGCTTTTCCAGGAATCTCTGAGAAAACTAGTAGCCAGCCACTGTGTTCCAAGTCAGAGCAGATTCATGAGTTATGCTCAAAGCCTGGAACCATAATGTATCAAAAGAACCTTGTAATATTTTACCAGAACCTTGAAGAATTTGACATGAATGTGTAAAGCTAACTAAGTACATTTTGCAAATAGATGGGACTGGGAGGAAGCTAGAATGTCTCTGTTATCTGGCAGTATCCTGGCACAGTGGACGCCTATTTGAAGATGTTCCTTTCTTTGGTGAGGCTAAAATGGAACTGATACCCATGAACTTAACCTAAATCAAGCTTCCTCTATTGCCTCTTGTATCTTTCTTCTTCTGACTCACCCAGATGAGCACTCAGGATGTGACTAAATTATCCTGTGACAAAGTTGAGCACTACAGACTTTTTCTGCAATTCAGACATGCAGCTAATTAGATAACGTCTTACCAGCATCCGAGCTCTCAGAGTAACCTTCCGGGTTGAGTGGCTACGGAAACAAGTACTCACTGCATTGCTGACCATGCTTAAATATAGGTCCTGAGCAAGTGGGCGAGAAGTTGGGTAACCAGACTGACAAGGACGAACCATCTGGTAAAGGAGCAGGACTGAGGGAATCACACCACCCCCTTCATGTACAGCCCTTAAACTGCAGTAAGGGCTGTGCTGACTGAACCAGTCAGTCCCACCCGACCCACATGAGGTCAGTCAGTACCGTACAGGCATGCACTGAGCAGGGTGGTGGTCGAGTAGGTCTTGCTGACCTACTTCAGTCCAACCGACTGAGGCTGAGTTATTTTGAACCACACATTCCGGGGAACAGCCGAAGTGTCCTTTCTAACCAGTTTCCAGTAAAGTGCTAGGCCAACATCAATCCAGTGACCGCCAGTCCAAAGAGGCTGCCAGCTTTCCTTCTTGGGGCAGACAATGTCCTATCCATTACAGTCAAGTTCAAAGCAACTGCCAAGTGGGTGTCAGAGAAGCAGGGAGGATTGCAGATTTCAAATGAAAGAGTCGTAGTAGGGGAACAGGGACAAAATTGGGCATTAAGAATTGCAGTGTCATTTTTTCTCACAGATATATGCATTCCATTTGGACATTTACCTCAATTAGTTGGTCATAGATTGTTGGTATAAAAAATGAGTCTATAGTAAGTCATGTGCATGCATCATAATTATAACCCAAATTCAAACAGTTTTAAAGTGTGAGAAAAGAGAAGGGGCAGATCAAGCAGTAACATTCAATTAATATCCATCGTATGCAATTCAGTGGGGGAGGCTTTGATCCAAGTCACAGTGGATCAGGAACTATACTGGGTTAATCCACAGCAACAAGTACATGTTCTAACACAAACGTCAGTGTGCAGGCACTCTGTGTTAGAAGACGCTCTTGCTGTCATATCCTCATTGTTAGACCTCACCATGTTATTTCTATATTCTTCCTCCTATAGCTCATTTGGTATTACTAAAATGAGGTAACAGTTTAAATTTATTTTCACAGAACCATGGAAGAAATAACAATAAGAAATAGATGCAATAAGGAAAAATTATGAAATATATCTTGAAGATTTGACATAAACTTCAGGAACATATCTCCATATTAGTAAACATCCCTTCAAATAAAGCTACTTTTATTTTTTGCTTTTATTGCTTCAGTCTTGGGATTTTGGAGGAGGAGATTGTGGGCGGGGCACCTCCCTGCTTTTCCATCCCCAGCTGTGTCTGTGTGGGTACTCTCTTTCCTACGGCTCATCTCACGGGCTTGTTAAGGTACTCAAGTGAAATTTTTATGCAAAAGTCCTTTGCAAACTGTGAGACTCTCTGAAATATATTGTGTCCTAGAAATATAAGATGTTACTGACAAAGCAATTGTTTGTTTCTAGGATGAAATGGAATAGTAGTCCAAATAATGGGATACTTTCACTAACTACCGCGTTTATATTTCTGTGAAGATTTTTATCAATCAGAACAGAGCCACATAAATACAATCCCAAGGCTTTGAGTGTTGTTTAAGAAAAGCACTCTTCAGGCCAATAGGACAGGTGGACAAGGTGGTCCTCAGACTGCTTGCCTTTTTTTTTTTAATCTTCCCCTGGGACTTCTGTCTCTTCTGTGACTGATCCATCATGATGCCTGCTTCCACTTTAGCATACACATAACACCAGCATAATCTACTCATTTTTTTCCCTTTGCCACAACAGTGATAAGTGAGAAATATCCAAAGGAAATAAGGAAATGGAAATACTAAGATTCGAAGAATTGTTACAAGATTTTGTTCACAGAAAACTTGCCCCAGATTCTTAGGTCCTATATTTTGTGTGACATCTCACACGGCCTTGACTCTGAGACCTGAGGCAGCTATCATATCTATTTCTCAGTGTCTGGCCTTTATGTACTTCAGTAATCCTCAGTAGATGAGTTATCTATGCTCAAGAAAAAAACTGACATTCAACACTGATCAAAGAGACTGCCTGATTTATTGGCCATGTCCATTATCTCTTGCCTGAGCAAAATGTTTTGCCACGTAACTAGGTATCACTGTGCACCTACCTGTACACGCAGGGCTTTGGTGGGTGACTAGGCATGACTGTGCACCTGTACACACAGGGCTGAGGTGGGTGACTAGGCATGACTGTGTACCTGTACACGAAGGGCTGTGGTGGGTGACTAGGCATGACTGTGCACCTGTACACGCAGGGCTGAGGTGGGTGACTAGGCATGACTGTGCACCTGTACACGCAGGGCTGTGGTGGGTGACTAGGTATCACTGTGCACCTGTACACACAGGGCTGAGGTGGGTGACTAGGCATGACTGTGCACCTGTACACACAGGGCTGAGGTGGGTGACTAGGCATGACTGTGCACCTGTACACGCAGGGCTGTGGTGGGTGACTAGGTATCACTGTGCACCTGTACACACAGGGCTGAGGTGGGTGACTAGGCATGACTGTGCACCTGTACACGCAGGGCTGTGGTGGGTGACTAGGCATGACTGTGCACCTGTACACACAGGGCTGTGGTGGGTGACTAGGCATGACTGTGCACCTGTACATGCAGGGCTGTGGTGGGTGACTAGTCACAACTGTGCACCTGTACATGCAGGGCTGTGGTGGGTGACTAGGCATGACGGTGCACCTGTACATGCAGGGCTGTGGTGGGTGACTAGGCATGACTGTGCACCTGTACATGCAGGGCTGTGGTGGGTGCTGTGCTTCTTCGGCACCACCACATTGCAACACAGCTGTTGATTTATACTATCACCACACCTTCTGAACTCCAAGTTACCTCACTTACACCTAACACTCAGGTTTGCAAATGAACGCTTCTTTCCTGTGGATTCCAGTGGCCATTACTCCGACACTGGAGCCCATGCCTGCCTTTCCCCTTCCATGCTGTGGGGACACTTCTCCACACTGGAATTTGACTCTGTGGTAGAGATGACATTGCCATCTAGTGGGGAGGAAAATGATGTTTTCTTTCCCAGCACACATTTAAGGAAGAGTGAGTCCAGTCCTCTTTCAGTTAGAATGATTTTCCACACTAATATAATTCACTGAAAGAAAAAGAAGTGAAATGTTTGTTGTTTGAAGAAATGAATGAAAGAATGTTCTGTTTGGTGAAATTGGGTTCCTTGTTTCCTTGCAGAATTTCAACCACAGACTGTGAAAACTAGGCAAGGCTGTGTAGAAAAACAGAGAGCAAACAGAATTTTTCCTCTCCAATACCTATTAAAATAGCTCTGTAAAGAAAAAAAAGCCAGTGAGGGAACATTTTTAACTGCCAAAATGTTCTTGGGTGCCTAGGCTAGAAGTACACATCATCCAGCACAATCATGACATATGCTATAATTATCTATAATTATAATTCCTACAGTAGATGATTGAAAATGTCCACATATTGATGGCTTCTTGTCAGTGAAATTTCATCCTTCAAATGGAACAATGGTTGACTGCACAACTTTCAGAGGGATAATAAGACTTCTGGACATTGTCACTAGCAAATGCTATTCCCCATGTGTGCTGTATGTGAAAGCAACCAGCAGCGAAGAAAGGTGTGGGGAGGCTGGTGAATGGGCTTCGGTAGAGAATTGGGCTCCCATGGAATTGGTTTTCTACTTATATCAAGAAAGACAAGAAAATACTATCAGATTTGCATGTCACCAAATTACAGCTTATTTCTACATGGTTTGTCCTGGCAATCCCAGTTCTATGTTCTGAAACTCTCAGCTGAAAATTACAAAGGTCCAAACGCAAACCTGAAAGCCAGAATGCTCATGTGGTGGCATTTGCCAGCTGGACCTCAGCCACGAGCGTACTAAAAGCTGTCTTTCTACTAATGTCCTCTCCATCCTACTCTGGAAGTGTTTCCTCATGTTGCAGTTCCGCTGAAATATGGTAGTAAGATTGACACAGCGTGTTATGACAAACAGTTGACAGTGACATGCAGGAAAAATGTATTTCAAGATTTATACAAAAGAGAGCCCGAGGTGGCTGTCTTCTAGGGTGGCCAACGCTCGCCCTCCTGTGGTTATAGGAGATAATACCAATTTTCAGAAGCAAAATCAGATTTTTCTCAAGTTAAAAAATATCCTGTAGTATTAGGAAGAAATCCAGAAAATTTCTTGAGACAAAAAAACACTTTAATATGATGGTGTAGGTTTTTGCATCATTTATAAGGGTCACCATGAAAAATACGTCTACTCTGAAAGTAACATAAAGATGAGTGACTAAGTTTGAACTTGCAAGGGGGACTCAGCAGAGACAAGGTGATCCAACATTTCCAGCTGTGGATGTTGCCTTTCTTCCCTCTCCCACCAGGTTCTGAAGTCATTGTGGTATGCAACTCTGCGTTCCAGAACCCTCCTTACCCCCATCTACTGCTTTGGCTGAAACCATGTTCTGCTTTGGGACCTACTTGAGCAAGTGTGGCCTTGGTGGACCCCAGGGCCCTGCAAATGTCATTATGCCGTGTCTCAATAGCACTGTTTCTCAGGAGGAGGTGTTCTGAGCAGACTTTACCATACACTGGGACAGGGTAGACTCCCAGGGGAAGGAAGTTACTACGACAGGCCGTCCTGTAACTAAGAGTGGCACACGTCTCTGTATCTTAAACTCACTCCACAGATGACCTCATCCATGTCCCGTCTCATTGGAGAGAAAGAGTGAGGCCCTTGTCACTGGGAAGACAATCATTCTTTCACTCAGTGGCTTCTTGCAGACTCATTGCCCAAAGACCTTCAAACAGCTTCAAATGCCTCCAACTAAAGGACAGTTTACTTTCCTAAATCTGGCTTCATTTCCCCCCAGAACTGAGAATTCTTCTGTAGAATTTTGTTTTCCTTGGCTAGATATTCTCTGAATGGCCATCTCTATGGCTGCATTGATCTGTCTATTAAAGTCAGTTAATTTTAGTTCTGGGGTGACAGAGGTTTTCCGTGCTTCCTGCTCTGTGAGATATAATGCCAGCTGAAACAACTCAGGAAATACAATTCCTTCTTTCTCAGGACTTAAAGACAGAAGAGAGAGATGGAGAACCCAAGACAGGATGTGGAAAGTGTCATGTGAATGGCACAAGGGATAAAAAAAATGTCCAGTGGGGCGGGGAGTAGAAAGATATCGGTTCTGGGCTGGTGTTCAGGGAAAGCTACAGAATGGAAACTGTGAGCTAGGTTGTGGGGGGAGAAGACAGAAGTGAGTGGGAGGGCTGCTCTCCAGTGAACGAGTGCCAAGGACTAAGGCGAGGAAGGAAGGAAGGAAGGAAGGAAGGAAGGAAGGAAGGAAGGAAGGAGGAGACTGACCAGCCAGCTGACGCATAGTCGGTCATGCAGCTGATGATGGACTGGAAATCACTTCCCTGAGCACATGTACAACAAGAAGCTTTTGTGTTTTAAAATGTTTTTCTCAGACAAATGGTTAACTGTCTTATACCAAAATTAAAACATAGCCTCTTGCTTTTCTATACAAAAGTTTTATTTGCTCTTCTAATTAAATATAGGCCAGTCATTAATAAGCATGCTACCTTTCTAAAGAGAAAAGAGGAAAAAAAAAACTAATAGAAACACCAAAATGGAACAAAATTTCCTCTAAGAGTAGGAAGGAAAAAAAACACTAAGAATTTTTTAATTTAAATTTAATTTAAGATACTATACTGATTTTTCTAACCCACCTGTTCACCTCTAAATGTCTCATCAGAAATGAGTAAATAAACATAAATGCCCAAGGCCAGCTTCCTGAGACTCAATGGCTTAAGCTAAGTATTTAGAATGTTTTCTATTCAGAAGTAAACCACTACAGTTCCTTTTTTTTCCTCTCATAACAAAAATCTTACCTTTTCCCCAAATAAGCTTGGAACTATAAAAGCTAGTGAGTAATAATGGTATCATCATTTCCATAAGTAAGATCATTTCAGATTATATCTTAAAATTCAGACAAATGGACACTTTTGGAGACTTCCTACTAACAAGTTCTGCCAGACTAGAGGGGACTTCCACAAACTATTCTTACCTGCAGTTCAAGCGTGTGCGGAATTAATGGACTCACAATTCCAAACACTTAGTCGGATACATTTTAAAGCAAGCAGGGGTGGAGGGGCACAGCAGGATGGCTCAGAAGTGGCCACCAAACCAAACAACCTGAACACTGTCACCAGAACTCACATGGTGCAAGGTGAGATGAAACTCTCACAAGTTATTCTCAAACATCCATCCATATATGGGTATTGACACATGCAGACTTTCCCAGCCCCTCAGTGAGCACACGCGCATACACACACACGCATGCATATGTGTGCACACACACGGTATTATTAATTAGAGATTGAAGATATCACAACTCTATCTTAGACAATGTGTGATCAGTGGCCACAAGCTTGAAGAACCCACAGCCAAAGGGTGGCATTCAGAATGCAGGAGGAGTGAAGGAAGAGTCCACAGTTAGCTGCCACTGTGCAAAACATAAAGACAGGAGAGGACAGTTGTGCATCCTATGAGGAAATGATTGCTGTTGCCACTGTGTAGGAAAGCCAGCTAGCATTGCATCAAGGGCGTCACATGATCCCGTATGAATGACCGCTGGCGCCATTTATATAGATCTTGGTTGATGAGAGACACTGTGATAGATGCTTTGCTTGCATTATATCCTTTAACATAATTATTTCTTTTTAAAATCCTGAAATGAATTTATTTTCTTATTTTGTAGTGAAAAATCTAATGCTCAAAAAAGCAAAGTAGCGTCCCTGGGTCATGTCCCTCTCTGAGCCACATGTCTCCACAGCTCGCCCAGCCCGAAGAGGGATGGCAGCTGAGGTGGTACCTGAGCCCTTCTGTAGCACAGTTGCTTTAGTGCGCACTGGAGTGAGAGATTTGAAACTGTTTGGGGGCTGGAGAGATGATTAGGCAGTTAAGAACATTAACTACCCTCCCAGAGGATCAGGATTTGTCTTCCCACACTCCCACGGGAGCTCACAACCATCTATAGCTCCACTTTCAAGGGATCTGATGGTCTCTCTGGCCTCCGTGGGCATCCGGCACACACACGGTGCGCAGATACACATACAGGCAAGCACTCCCACACATTAAAAATAGTAAGAATCAAAACGTTTGGCCATTCTCTCTGCTATCTGATTTGACGCAGCTCGCCACGGCCCCTGCTTGCCCGAACTACGTTAGCAGTTACTTATACTTCGTAGAGGTGTAAGTTTCTAGCTGATTTTTCTTTTTCTCCACATGGGAGCTTTCATCTATTCATATCTTTAATTATCATGACCAAGATGTCAACATGTTCAAGGAAAGCCAACACACTGAAGCATGTCCAAAAATATATGGATTCTGCCACTTAGTCTTAAAATTTTCTCACCGTTTTGCTTCTGAATATTTGAATCTTGCCTGGCCATCAAATCTACCTCATTCTTCTTTTCCCATGAAATCTGCTTTGCTCCATTCCATCCTCATTGGGTTGTAGACTTTTCATTAAATATATTATAGTTTTTAAACACTTTTTATGAATTATGCTTTAAACACTTTTTAAATAAATTATCATTTTTTTAAAATTTAACATAAAGTAATCACTTTATGCTAAAAATTTTACTTTAACAAGAAGAGAAAGGCAGAGACAATATTGCTTTTCAACAGCTTGGCAAAGGAAAAAAATCACAAGTCAACAGTTAAAGAAATCATTACCCAGAAAATAGAGAAAGCTTTGTCTCTTTTTGAAGCCAATGAAAGTAACAAAAGTAGCAACTCCCCCGATCTTTTTGTAAATCCACAGATGCTGAATGAAGAGGAGAGCACCACCAACCAAGGCAGCGCCCATGGAGACCTAACAGCATCTATGCATCCTGAGCCCACATGGATTAAAGGAGCAGAGAATGTAGAGGATGCTCTCCTTAACCGGCCTGACCAGGAAAGGTATGGTGCCGCTCTCGTCCGAAGTAACCCACAGCCTATAAAGAGACCGGTGACGAGGACTGAACTACGAAGGGACAAAAACAGAGAGAAGAAACCTAAGAGTGTTCCAAGCATGATTCCAGCAGATATCAAAGATGCTAAAGACCACTTCAAAGATGAAGAGAATCAACAGAGGTATCTGCTATCCCGGAACAGCTCAGTAAAAAGCAAACATACCCATCAGGTCCGACGGAGCACTCACTATCTAACACATCTGCCCCAAATCAGAAAGATCCCCGGGGACTTTGAAGGCAGTGGTTCCCCATACACTCAAGTGAGGGGGGATAATGATGTCCCTCCTTTCAGTGGGGACGGGCAACACTTCTTGGACATTCCTGGCAAAGGAGGTGCTGTTGGGCCTGGTCTGGACAGCTCCGCTAGTCACACGGGCCTCTCGGGCTCTGACAAAGCTGAGATTCGTAACCCGCAAACAAGTGGATTGGGTTCTAACGAGATCCCAGAGAGAGAGAGACACGGTGGCCATGCCGTTGCAACCGGAGACGAAACGGCACACCGGGCAGGTGCTGCTGGTGTGAGCCTTGCGGAGGGCGGCAACGGCATCACAGGCAGCACTAATTTTAGGGAACTCCCTGGAAAAGAAGGAAACAGAGTTGATGCCGGCAGCCAAAATGCCCATCAAGGGAAAGTCGAACTTCACTACCCGCGAGTGCCCTCCAAAGAGAAGCCGAAAGGCGGCAGCCGCGACAGCACGGGGAGCGCCAGTTACAATGAGATTCCCAAGCGCGGCAAAGGTAGTTCTAGGAAAGACGCCGGAGAATCCTACAGGAACCAAGTGACCTGGACTGAAAAACAAAGATTTCCAGGAAAAGGCAAAAGCCAGGGCCAGGTTCTTCCTTCTCACAGTCTTGGTAATGAGATTAAAAGCAAGGGCGATTCCTCTAATGCTCCCAGTAGTGAGGCGATTATAATCACACACAGCAGAAAAAACCATTATGTACTCCAGGGACAAAATAACTCCACACGGAATAAAGGGATGTCACAACGGAGAGGCGCCTGGCCGTCACGAAGGCCCCATGCCCACAGGCGCTTTAGCCCGCGCAGAAGCGATAGCAGTGAGTCGTCCAGTGACAGTTCAAGTGAGAGTAATGGGGACTAGTCCCCAGGAATTTGGACCAGTCCTCGGCTCCTGTCCTGAAGGAAGAGAGGACACAGCCGGAACTGAGCAAGCTAACAAGCCTGGTCCCTCCAGGACGTTGTGCTCTTATATATACGGTTACAGGAAGAATTTCTACTCAAAGTTCTAATGCTTTTTTAAATAAAAATTTTCATTAAGAATTGATATTGTAGGTAATATTTGGATAGCCGACACCTTAAAATGGCCTGTGGATGTCATGTGTGCCTTGATGTGTTGTTTGCTCTTCAGAGTGAAAATAAATGTGCTTTTTCTATGATCATCTGTAGTTAAATGAGCTATAGGGGACTGTTGGCGGTAGTGGAAGAATTAACGAGGTTAATCCACCTCGAACAGAGAGGTAAGGTGTGTGAAAGGACTCCCCGGAGCAAGGCTGGAACCACTCCCTGCCTGGGCTCTACCGGGCATCTCCCAGTTGGTGGCCCGCTGCGCTCTTCCCTCACGATGTGCATTTACAGAGTCCTACACGGCAAGTTTTATTTCTGAAACCAATCTCATGATCACTTTGGCTGGTTCTGTCTCCACCTAGAGAGGAGAATGGGATGAAGTGCTGTGGGAGACCGGGAGAGAGACATACAAACAAGAGGGCCAGACAAGGACCCGGTTCACAGATTCCACACACTGACCACTACCAAAGTACTCCCAACTCTTAGTCTTTCTCCCGTTCTTGAGCATAGAAGGTTTTCTGGTCAAGATGGTCTTGTAGCACAGGTCTGGAGAGGGGACCTGTGTCTTCTGCTGAGGAAAGCTTTTGTCCCATGGCAAGAGAAACATACCCAGCTGGTGCCCCATTTTCTTTTCTCAACCTTCTCCTTGGCGTAGCATGAGCACGCTGTCTGGATGTGTAGGAGCCAGTGTGTGGCCATAAGCATAGAAAGGCCACAGGGTCAGCTCCATCAGTCTCCTGCCTCAAACATCCTGTGTGCCGGAACACTAGCTCTCCTCATGTCGGGCGTCAGTATGTTGCTGTTACCGATGCCTGCTCTGAATTCATTACTAATATACTTCTCCTTTCTCAACACTCTCCTAAATAGTGAACATCCAGGAAAGGAAAGGAGGAACGGAAGATACAGGAAGAAATGTGGGCATTATTTCTTCTGCCCCTCGTAGACTTTCAAACAACAGACATCTTGACCAGTGTGTTCTGTGTGGAATCTGTGTTTTGGTTCCTGGTACTCTCGTTTTTTAAATAAAATATTCAATTTGACCAAAAAGAAAAAGCACACTGAAAGCAATTAAGTAGAGAAATCATAACCAAATTTAAATTGTAAATAAAAAAATTGAAACCAACCCAGTAGCTTTTGCACAGGAATGGTCTGAGCACATGGAAACTCTTGGGATGGTGAGAGAAAGCCATAAATAGATGAAGAAAGCAAATGCCATCCTAGGTCTTTACCTGTGGGGACTCCAGGGGCCGTGGTCTTGTCTGTTATCTAGGGGGACAGTTGCATACCTCAGTTCCCTAGCTAGAATGTTCCCTCTCCCCATGTTTGAACACTTGTGTGCGGCCCTCCAAAGCCCTGGTGAGGGTATATACATCTGCTTCTTTATAAGTGAAGGAAGGAGGGAAGGAGGGAAGGCTTCACCATGACAACGTGCTGTCGTGAATGCCCACACGGGGGCACTGCTACAGATCCAGACCTGCAGAAGCTCACAGGACGCTCTGCTGTATCTACACTCATGTTTCAGCTCCGCCGTCTTCATTCAAACATAAATAAACACAGCTGCCTTTGGAGGAATGAGGAAAGTGGATGCAGTCTGCCGCCTTGTGCCCCAAAGGGAACACTGTCCATTGCCAGCTGTGGGGGCAGTGGGGTCTCATTTGTCTGCCTGCCTGCAGTGCACTCCCTGCAATCCACTTGCCTGGGTTTCCCTGTTTGTAAATGTCTGTCTTCCACTTGCCGCCCAATACTCCAGTCAATCAGGGCAGACGACCCGATCCCGTTCAGCTTCTTAAACTTGAACAAAAGCCATGAAATGAAGACATTTTACAAAATTCAGTGAAGCTCAAAAGGGAAGAAATGCTCCTGGGCTTTACTGAGTGGATACTGTAACTAAAGAGAAAGGTGGTCAAGAACAAGGCAGGATACAAGGAGATAGCTTGGATATTCACCTATAACCTTAGCAACCAGTAAGCGACGCCAACACAAGCAGATCCCCAGAACTTATTGGCCAACAAGCTTAGATGTATTGATGAGCTCCAAGTTCAGAAGTTCAGTGGGAGAATTTGTCTCAAAGTAGAAAGTGGAGAACAACCGAGAAAAATACTTTAAGTTAACCTCTGGCCTACACACACACACATGTGCATGCACACCCTCACTAATACGTGCTTACACTCCACAATCTGTAACATGTACATACATCACACAGATGTGCACTCATGTGTATGCATGTGCACGTGCGCGCGCACACACACACACACACACACACAGAGGATAAGGCAGAGGACATTAAGAATGACATGTTTACACAGACTACGTATCTACAGGTAAATAAGAACTTTGCAGTTGACGACCTTAAATGGTACAACATGTATTTTAGTTTAAGAAAGATCCCTCAGTCAGAGGATTAGGAGGCTGCAGTGGTGAGCAGGGGGCTCAAGGGAGCAGGATGGAGGAAGACTCACCTTAGACACATGTGTGGTAATACATTGTGTACCCTAATAAACTTGCCTAAGGATCAGAGAACAGAACCAGCCACTAGATTAGACACAGAGGCCAGACAGTGGTGGCACACACCCTTAATCCTATCACTCAGGAGGCAGAGATCATCTGGATCTCTGTGAGTTCAAGGCTACACTAGAAACAGAGCCAAGCAGTGGTGGCACATACCTTTAACTCCAGTACTGGGAAGCACACACGCCTTTAATCCCAGGAAGTGATGTCTGGGCAGAGAAAGGTATATAAGGTGTGTGTGCTTTCCAAACAAAGGCATGAGATCTTAAGTGCTGGGATCAAAGATGTGTGCCACCACTGTGTGGCCTCTGTGTCTAATCTAGTGGCTGGCTCTGTCCTCTGATCCTCAGGCAAGTTTATTAGGGTACACAGTACATCACCACACACATGGACACTGGATAAGAAAGGCCAAGAAGGAAGAACTGTAAGCAGATGCTACTACTCAAGGGATCGTGCTTTAAAGTCCATGGTATGGTTTATTATGCACATCCCATACTTAGAAATATAGCTGGTGCTGTATTTGAGTTGTTTTATAGATTGGGTTGTTAACAAATTAGTAACAGAAGTTAAATCATTTTAATTTAAACTTTTTTTTTTAACTTAAGACAGTGAGGCAGCGGAAGTCTGGAAGCTGTGGCAGACGTGTTCTGCTAAACCAAGCAGTCATTTTATCAGTCAGTTCTGATGGCGGTGGTCTGGCACCAATCTTGGAATAACACGTATGGTAGAAGGTCATGAATAGGGAATCTACTGTTTTCATTTGTAACAGGTCTTCAGATGACTATGAGCCCATATTTGAAATCACTACCATGGGTGTTTTTTTCAGTGATTTCCAAATTATTTTCTGGGACAGCCCAGACTTCTTACTAACCTGTTACTGGGGGGATAGTTCAGTCTCCGATGGAGAGAACTCTTCTTTATAGATATTGCACATCAACAAATAAAAGAGAATCACAGGTCAAGGTGGTCCTAGACGGACTCTTGGGGAACAGACGTTGTTGGAAGTGTACGCGTGCCTCCCTTAGTTCACAACTCTGTGTAAAAAGTTAGGTATCCAACGTGATGTGCTGCTGGTCCCATACTGAATGGATGCTCAGACAGGATATCCCAAATTGCTCAACACCACGTGTCTCTGTAAAAGACAGTGGAGTGTGAGGAGGAGAGAAGAAGGAACTGGGGTGGCCTTTAGTGTAAAAGAGCAAGAGTGACGTGTGCAGATGGCAGTGGCATGTCCTGCTTCACATTGCTCAATGCTCTGAGTGCTGACAAGATCTGCTTACTGTGAGCAGAAACTTTAGTCTGTAGAATCTTTGAGTAATATTCGTTGGATATGTGGGATTCCCCCGCTAAGCTGGCCTTGGTCCTTGGTCAGTGTTGAAGCTCTCTGATCCACAAGCATCCAGATTAACTGAAGGTATGAGCTCTCCTCAGGCATGGGCCCCAATCACCACCAGACTTCAATAGGTGGAATGAAGATGGAGTACACCAGTGTGAAAGTTCCCTTGGTCCCTTGACTGCTGGAAAAAGAGTCCATCTCTAACTCTTGGATGTGGCCCAAGGCTTCTTCAGAGCCCCAGGTGAATGAAGGGGCTTCGTTATTCCAGCTTACTCTTGCTATGAAAAAAAACCTTGGATCTGTTGACATGTAGCTATTTTATGAAATAATATTTCTGACCATAAAAGTAAAATTATGAAAGTAAATATATAAAACAGTAAAATAAATAAAATAAAAAGTAAATATATATGTAAACAATATAAATTTAAAAAAGAAAATATAGAAAAAGTAAAATTATAAAAACAAAAAAATGCAAAGGAAGAATTATATTTTTTTCTAGTCCTTTGTCTACTGCTTACATGTATTGTAAGAAAACAGTATTGGACTTTATTTGTTTTAGCATTTCTCTCATGTCATTTTATCATGTGACTATTTCTTAATCATCTTAAATTTGATTATATAAGTATACCAGAATTTGTTCCGTGTATTGTTGAGATGACTTAGTATTTTTCCAGATTATTTTCTTATGAATTATTGCTTTGTTATTGAATTTTGATGCTGCTGACATTTCCTCACTCTCCATAATTTCATCTTTACTGAAGGACAATAGATGAGCAAAAGTTATATACAATGGCTGCCCACTGGTTTTTAATGCTGCATAGAATTTCACTGCTAGGCTCTCCTGACATTTTTTCAAATCTGGTCCCTGTTGACAGGTATTTCTTTTTTAATTAATCATTCATTAATAAACCCAGTATTATAAAAAGCATCCTATGCTAGGCATAAGGTAAGTT